TCTCATGTTCTTACAGGGTAGCTTATGCTTTAGGATAATCTGATTCGTTGATCATTATTCATCTCATATTCAAAGACAGAACCAGTCCTCGCTCAGTCTGGAGATGGCAAGAATACCCTCCAAATCTTTATGGTGAATCTCCTGCACAGTCTCTGTATTGTGGCATCCCACATCTCAAACTCAACATACCCCAGACTGAACTTATTATCCACCCCTCTCCCATCATCTTCCTGTATTCTACATTCATTGGTGGCACCGTCACTACTTGGTCACCCAAGCCAGAAATCAGACCATCTGCTGAGAGTCCACCTTTTCTGTCAACTCTCACGTACAATCAATCACCAGGGCTCAGGAAGGCCCTTGTCATGAGGTCTCCAGTCAACTTCTCCTTGCCATCCCTCCTGTTGATGTCAGTGCATATCCCTAACTAACTGCTGTAATAAAACAAGAATGGACATTCCCTAAGGGAGGGACCAGCGCCCAGAACAGTGTGGTGGATAAGAGTGGGCGTGTGGAGCCAGAACGGTGGATTCGAACCCCAGTTAATGTGCATCAACTGTGGGATAAGTATCTGAGCTTCAGTTTTTGCAACTGTAAAATGAGAAAAAAAAATCCAAAAACCCTCCATCCCTGGTTTGTTGTGAGGATTAAATAAAGCTGATATGCTAACAGCACAATAGTGCTTGGCACACAGTGTAAGTTTGCAATATATATTATACATGTAATGATAGACGAGGAAACCAAGGCTGGGAACAGGGAAATACATTCTTTAGGATCATACAGCTACTAAATAATACAGCTGGCATACGAATCTAGGTCTAAAACAACATTTTCCCCTCAATGGCACATCTAGGGCTCCCAATGTGGTGGCTAATAAGAAAGTGGCACCTCTAAAGTGCCAGTACAGAAACATATCATGTATTATATAGAACAGTATGCATAATATGATCGCTGGAAAAATGTTTAGAGTTAATTACAAACTTCCCTATTACTACCTCTGAACCTTGTAGATTCCTTTGTCATCTCATTTTCATCCACCTCTCCTCCTAAACTACCTGAGAGTAGAGGCTTCCCATTGCATAGTACAGAGCCAGACACACAGCATTCAATATTAACTTGCAGAATAGCACCAAATCTTTTTAAAAAAATAATTAACTTGTTTATTTAGCACATAATAGATCATAGTAGATAATATATTAATGTGGTTAACACATTCAAACTCTACAAAAACTGATTTAGAGGAAAGTAGTATCCCTTCCATGCCATTCCCCAGACACCCAGCTCCTGTCTCAAGAAGCAGCAATGGTGACCAGTTTCTTGTACATATATCCTTCAGAGATATTATGGAATTGCATTGAATTTTAGTGCAATTTAAATTTAAATTTAATGCCAAAGATTATTAGGGAATGGTGGGAAATGCTTCATGCTATTTAGTCAGTGTGTTTTCTTTCCTGAGAAGTCACCAGTTTCTCTCAAATCCATACAAAGGACAACCCAAACATAAACTCTGTGTGTGTGTGTGTGTGTGTGTGTGTGTGTGTGTGTGTGTAGAAGGTGATAATTACTGTTTTGTGAACTCCTTCAGGTAAAACTACCATCCAATTCTATGCAGTTCTACTTATAGATTTCTTCCTCTTGCAGCTGATCTTATGGTCCAGTTCTTCATGATTCTTTGGCCTGAGATTTCTTTTTTATTGTGCTATTAATTCCTTGAACATGGAAAGAGAGGGCATTCTGCAACTTGAACGTGACAAAGGACTTTTTCTGTCTTTCAGCAAGATGTCTGAGGTCACTCTAACACAATTTACCACAGTTTGAAATAAGAAAGTGCTTCCTGAAGGAAGAAAGACAGTAACCACTCTTCTCAGTGTGGATTTTGTCAGACAGATGTCTGCAACAGCCCTGGAAGATGCTTTAGCTAATGCTTCAATAATGGATTCTCTTCAAGGGACTCAGCATGTGGCCTTGCCTTCTCTCAGGTCGCTAGCCTGCTCCTGTTACACTGGCTTCGTTACATGGGGCACAGCACACTCAGACTTCGACATTGCTTAGAAATGATATTAGAAATATCATTGCTTAGAAATGACATCAAGTTGCACAAGTGGTTCTATGCCTGTGCTTGCAGAGGAATTGGTACTAAAATATTTACAATTCTCTGTGTCACTCTGAATAGATGGATTCACATGTCTCTACTATTCTTCCATAATATTTTCCATTTCTACATACTAAATTATATTCATTTTATCTCTAAAAGACAAAACAGATTAAACAAAAAATTTACTCCAATATATAGATTTTTTTCCCAGTCTTTTTTCTAAAACTGATGAAAACCTAAGAATTTGAAAATTAAGTCATAGCTATAGTTCCTCTCATCTCATCTTTGGGGAAAATAACTATTTTATTCTTCCTTGCTAGCATCTTTACAGTTTATTCCTATGCTGCAGCAAGTAAATTAGAGCGTTAATGTTCAGACATGTTCTTCCTCTATTTTTTCTTTTAGACCTGATGTATGCACGGTACTCAGTGAGAAGCTAAATGGAGCCTTTGTTTCCATGGGCCCTCAATGGAAGACGCACCAAGAGATAACTGAAGGGTTCTTCCTTCTCTCCTAAATCTGTTTGCTACTATGTTGTCTATTTGTGATTCCAAGTCTTTGGTGTAGACTCAGTGGTCTCTCTGACTGTCAATGAGCTCTTTTTATTTGTTTCTTTGTTAGTGCCTTCTTCTTGTTACTCTACCTCCTCAGTTTCCACTGGAAAAGCCAACCATGAGGGCACCTTGCCAAGTTATGTACCCCAGCTTAGCCAACTCATTGCAGTTCTCACAAATCTTAGGAAATCCTCATTGGGCTAGGGAATGATGCCAGAAATCATAGAGAAAATGGACTTTCCAATGCTGGCATTATCTTCCTTCTATTAGAGACGCTATTTCTTTGTAATCACTTAGGAACTTCCTTCTCCATCAATCTGCTTTCCATGTTTAGGTTGTTTTATTTTCCATTCCTCTATTCCTTAACTGAAACATTTCTGTCCCAGAAACTGAATTCTTCTCAGGTTTGGAATACCATTTTGAATAAGTGTTTCAGCATCTATTCCACACATACTCTAGTATCATTGAGCTCCATTATTATATGTATAGGATTGCAAAGTAAATGGGTATTTGTTAAAGAAATGAGAGGGATGTGGTTTAATCATCTGTAGAAGAATTACAAGTTTTCTGCTGAGTTTAAATTACATAGTAAAATGACAATGCTATGTGAATGCATCTAGCAATGGTTGCTAATTGGCCTCTACCAAGACATGGCATCATTTCCTCCTCCTAGCATCTCTCACAAGATGTCAACTAGTCAGCAGAGCAGAGGGGCAGGATGGCAAAGTGGTTAACAGAATGAATGGCCCCCGGTACTAGACAGCCTGAGTTTGACTTCCAGGTCTAGCTTTTGCTAACTGCATGACTTCGGGCAAGTTGCTTGATCTCTCCATACTCAGTCTTCTCATCTATAAAATGAAGATCATAGTAATCATCCCTACCCACTCACTTCATAGGCTTGCTTAAGGATTAAGTCAGCTAATATATGCGAAATGCCTAGAAAATAGCTGGAATAGTACTATATATAAATGTTCACTATTATTATGCAGCTATTGTTGTCTTGACAACAACTATAATTAAAGCAAAGCATGAGGTGAGCATACCACATTTTACATCAACTTCCAAGACAATGACACAATACTGAAATACTTCTTGCAGGAATGTATTGAAACCTGGGAGCCTACTAAAGAAAGCCATTACTTCCCTGAATCAATCAGGACACTTTTTCTTTGACATCTCTAAAATTAATCGAATAGTCATTAGTCACCAATTATTACTAAAAGGAGCCAAAGTTGTTCAAATGGAATATATGTACAGTCTTGTGACAAACTACTCTTCTGCAATATTCCTATTTACCTGCAATTTAAGAATCCTATTTCTTTTTGGCTAGAGTTATAATTACATTTACATGCTACAGGATTTCCTTAGTTTTTATTGTCATTACCTCTTCATATTTGAAAGAGATCTTGGTAAAAACCAAGGTGGAGATTAAAACTGTACACAAATGCCTTTTTTTGGTGGCAGGTTATTAGAAATTTAAGTTAAAGCATTTTTTTACAGCATGGCATTAACTAACATGCTTGTCAGCCAAAGTGTTTCTACGTGGGTTCAGTCAAAAGTTCCAAGTACGTAAGTAGTTTTTTCAGCTATGTTTTCAAGTAGGATCAATGCCACCCATAAGTAATAAACTATAATTTCAGATACCAATAAATTCAAAGAAAACAATAACGTTTTATTAATACAGATTGCTGTCAACAACACTAAATTTGTAAAAGGCTGAAATGTTTCAAAAAAGATATAGCTATTTATGGCAGGTGTGTCAAGGCAATGAATGAAAGAGATCTGTGTTCATATTTTCCCTGATTTACCTTTCCTAGTCACTTTATGAGAGAGTGCCAACACATAAGAGATTTAGTCTTTACATCAAATGTTGGTTACTCAGCTTCAAGTCAGCACCAGTTAAAATATAATTACCATTAGGGACCTCTGTCTCATTTTGGGGTATACTAATTGTATAAATTAGTTTTAAGTGAAAGCGACATTGTATAAAGATTACATTTTGGCCAAATCTAGTCTGTTTATTTGTTTTAATTGTTATTTAACTGCTCAGGCCTAATGATTACATGATCATTCTTTTGTCCCTACATGAGATGGGAAAACATTTGATTTACTTTCACACAATCAGTTGATTTGCATAATGCCTAATGTTTCTTTCAGATTCCCATGTGTTTATTGCTCCAAACATGCCAACAGACTCATTTAATGGGAAAAAAAAAACCCTTCAAATTCAGAGAAAAACCTTGGCTATCATTTTGACTATATACAATCAGTTTATCTGAAAATATTCCCAGGCAGCCAGATGCCCCAGAGAAACAAGATCCAGTTTTTTTGGTTGTTATCAAATGACTTACCCACAATGACTGCGGTGACAGTGAGCAGCACAAAAGCATTCCGAAAAAGGTAACTTTTAACATCCTCCTTTGTGATGTTCTGCACTTTCTTCTTAGCCAAGAGTGTGCGTTTCCGGACTCCTTGCTGGAACCTCTCCATCCTGCCTCCCATTTTAGGCTCTTCTCCATTACTTTTAGTCATATTTTACTTCTCTAGGAATGTCTCTTTCTTTGCACGTCAATGTCTCGGAATCACCCCCGGAAAGCCAGACCTCTTTGGTGTTAAGAGACCAGTACAACTAGAATGGAAGAGAAAGAAAGAGTTGCAGTCTCCAGGGATGGAAAATCAGTGAGCTCCATACCAGGAGAAGCTGTTGTCAAACTGCATAATCTCAGTAGGCATCAAGGGCTGGAAAGTCACAATGCCAGGTTTCAAGGCTAGAATGTGCATATTTTATTGCACCACGTGTGAGAAATGTGCAGAAATTTAGAACATATGAGCAGACACTTGTGTTTTATTTTTCAAAAATTGTCTTTCCCCTTCCAATGAAGCTATAAAAGGGTTCATCAGAGCTGGGTTGACTGAGCACCCTCAACCCCTCCCCATCCCCCAGGACCTCTCCGAATATTTTGCACAATGTGCACCCTCAGTAAATGTCCAGTTGAATTAAATGCACGGGAAACACTCAATAATCACCTGATGGCTTTTGCTGTATACATGGTGAAAACATAACCAGGTCAATGAAGTGAATTAAGATATTGATACTTCACAGCTGGAGCTTTCTGTTATATATACTAAAGTAACTATTTTCTTCATGAAGAAAAAAAACAAAACCATGATAATATCAATGAGCAAATATGGCCATGAGAAGAACACAAGTAGCCACAGGACTTGGGAAATACATGTGACTATTTCACGGGGTAACTTTTATTTTAAATTTTTTCCTGTGGAATAAGCAAAGTACTCTGGCGACATCTATAAATTATCTGAAATCATAATTAATTTTCATTTTATTACAAGTAGAAGTACAGAGTACTATTTGTCTTTGTGGCAAGCATCCTGAAGTCTTCTGAGGAAACTGTCATTCTAAGTATTTTTAAAGTTTAGGATTTCTAGAACAGATGAGGAGATGAATCCAGTTTTCATTCCAAACACTACAGTATGTGGTTTCTAGTTTCTTTAAAGTGCTACTAGGTTATTGAAATATATCTAAGCAAATCTCTCCTTGGTGAAAACTGGATGTTTTGAAAAATCAAGGGATACCTCCTGCTGTTTTACAAGATGTCTAATCCATAATCTTTCCCACGGATCCATCTAAGTAAAAATCAGCCGCGCCTGTGGACGTGTGTATCTGGCAACGCAAGCGGCCAGCGTGTGCGTCCATCCGTGTGGGAGGTAACTGGAGAGGACTCCTCGGGAGCTTCTGGCAAATCCAAGTGTGGAAAAAAAGATTTGCCTTAACAGTTCTGACTTTTAAATAAAATTACAGGGTGGGGTCAGAGATAATAAGACCCATAACTTGTTTAAAACCTCACAGCAGATTAAAAGTTTAGGGAGAAGGGAAGAAAAGGAGAGGCTAGACCAGATTTTTTTTTTTTTAACTAATCTGATTCCCTTTACCAATCACTTTTAAACAGACCAGCTCAGCCTTGATTGTTTCTATGCCTCTAATCCATCCTGAATGATTCAACTCCAAAAGATCAGAGAACGCGGCACGGACACCTCACTCGTGACATTAAATTACTAACGTGGACTTGATCTACCAAAATGGCTAGCTTTTACTCTCACTACTGCTCTGCTTGGGAGACAATATCCATTGGCAGCAGAGAGGTGGAACGATAAATTAAACCCAGCAGGAATACAGGACGTTAGGCTTACCTTTTCTGATTTTGTAACGGGTGGGAGATGCCCCAGGCAATGACAAGGTGAATTCCCCAGCAGGTAACAGCTGCGGAGTAAGAAAACGCTGTGAGCCAGGCATGCATGTGCTCTGAAACTGCAAGTTACTATCAGGGCAACTTAAGAAAAGGGGCGGAGTCTGTGCCCGGGAAAGGGGAGTGGGGAAAAGTGAAAACACCACAGCGGGAGGAGGGAGTAAACCCGAGGTTTCTGGAATATTGATTAATCTTGGCGCACCAGAAGCAAGCTTGGTGGCTTTGTTTTGCTCCTTAGAACGCTTTCATGCTTTGTCAGTTTACTTTCATTAGAAATGCAAAACCGGGACCGGGAAGAATTGAAGAATAAAGCGCGCACACACACTCAGAAAGCTGGAAGTCTTGATTTAGGACGTTTCAAAGAAGATTTTTCTAAGGCTAAATTTAATTACCTCACATTATTGCAGGTTTCCCCCCCTTAAGGAAACACGAGAGTGTGCTCTTTTGCCTGGTTGTACAACTGTTGTGAAAGAGTCCCTCTTTCTAGAATTGGGGAAAGATTAATAACTGACATTTCTTGGGAAGACCCGGAACACAATCAAGCATGGAGGGGGGAAAAATGCTTACTGCAATTCTCTAAACTTGCCTAAAGTTACTCAAAACACAAGATGAGACATGCCTCTATTTAAGTAGTTTAAACTCTATTATAACAAATCGAATTTAGCTCAAACCGCCTGCCTTGCAAAGACTACAATGGCTAGAAGCACAGAGACAAGGAACCTTGCTAAACTATAAAATAAAAAACCTTTTAAGACCAAGAGTGTAAATACACATTTGAAATTTTGTGATTTCAAAAGATAAGTTGCTGTGCAAATAGATGCCTTGATTTTAAAGGATGTTAAATGTAGCCCCCCACACACACACACCACCACTACCCTGAGAATATAACTTGCACTTCTAGTGCACTTTTCTTAAGAAGGAAAATAGATTGTGAAAACAGATTTTAAGACATAAAAAAATATTTTCGGGCCTGACTCAGCTCCAAAACTTAGAACTTGTATAACATAAAAAAAAAAGTTTAATAGACTCAAAAACCCATTCCAAAACTTACAGCCAGAGGTCTGTATTCCTGTTCATGAAATCTCATATTCCCCGTGCAAAATCTGCTTAATGTTTGTATCTGTTAACCGAGAAGAAAGTACATCTTTTTTCTCCGTTAGTAAATCCAGGGGAGATTTTAAAGACATGTTTCCTACCAGCTTCAACTGTTCCACATGTGCCCTTTTGAACAGCTACTGGTTGGAAAACAATGGAGGCATGCAAATGCTTTAAAGTTACAAATTAACAGCAAGTACAACTTTAAATTTGGCATCATTTTAAGAGTTTATTGAGAATATATACTCTTGACAGTCTCAGCCCTAGAGATCTTTATCTTCCGCTGATATCCTAGGTCACTTAGCAGCTGTACCACATTGTTTAACACTTAATTATACTGTCTCCTACTGCTCCTTTCTTTTTAAAATCTGTTAAATTTTGGCTTCTCAACTAAATTGTAAGTTCTTTGCTGACACGAACCAGTCTTACGCTTGACACATAGCAAACATTAAATAACTTTTATAAATGGATGGCATAATATAAGGTATGAAACAAAATGCTTTTTAACCTTCTGTGTTAAAACAAAACTACTGGTTTTTATGTTGGCACTCCTTCCTGGCTTCGGTGTGTGGAGCAAATGTCATTTCTTAACACCATGACTACATTTTAAAGCATTTATTTACTATGTGAAGTCCTATCTGAGCATGGGTTTAAGGCTAATTTGTCCACATTTCTTGTGGAAGTGACCAGTATTTCAAGGGAATTTAAAAGAGAAATCTTTAAATGATTCTAAATGGAGTTTCAAGCCAAGTGGCATTTCCGCTTTTAAATCCTGTTTTTTCATAGGCAAGAAAAAAGACTAGAAAAGCCACACTTTGGTTAGCATAGAGATGAGAAAGCCTTAGCATCCTTTCCCTCTCTTCTCTTTTTTCTAATCCCTAAAGTTTGGTTAAAAACTATTTCATTATTTTAGTTTGCACAGACATTATGGGAGTCTGGTGTACCCTCAAGAAGGGAAGTAATTTACCACTGAAAGTTTTGTTGGCTGTAATAAAACCTAATGAGAAAATGAGATGCAAAGAGTCTCAGTTCAGAGTTCACTCGAATTACAAGGTTTCAGTCTGGGGGAAATATTGGGAATTACTTCTTTTAAGCACCACTTTCTCTTTTGGAAAGCTATAACAATAATTCCCTTGGGGCAACCTGAGTTTACTCAACACATATTCCCACTTCCCCCCTTACTTTATAAATAAAACACTTGAGCATTAAAACATTATTTTTCTTCATAGAAATACTAAATAAATGAAAGATCAAGAAATTATGAGCAAAACTCTGTATGCTGCACTTCATTTAAAGCTACTCTGGGTAGGGGACACACAGCCAAGGAATCATATTAATTTTGGTATTCCAGAGTGAAAAAAAAAGGTGGCAAATGCTGCTGCTTTTGAAAAATCTTCCAACCAAATCCAACCTATCCTTAAATGGACTATTCCCCTTCATTAGTTTGAAGTATAAGGGATCATGGTTACAAGTAAGCACTGTCACATTGTACAGAACAGTCAAATTTCAGCATTCAAGATAAGGGAGTTCTGGAATTTGAGGAAGAAAATGGGAAAAAAAAACCTTTTAAAGTTTATTGAATATTTTCCACTTTCATTTTTAATTTCATGAGGGATTTTGTCATTCCTTGTTCAAATAGCTTGCATTTTAGGATCAACATAAAGAGTATCAATTCTCCTAGAATTTGGAAATTATAGAATGTTACAACAATGAATGGGGCCAGATTTAATCCCAGTGGAAGTACTAGAAGTACAAGAAGTAGTATTTGTGGCAGTTGGTGTTTTGTTTTGTCTTAAATTTTTTCCTTCTTGGGTTTGAATGTAAAAAGAAAAACAGACAAACAAAAAACCTGTGATGAATGCTAGTTAGTTGGATTTTTAATTGGCTAGTTTATTTTAAGCCCTTACGAAGCCTGAAAAACCCAAAGAGAGGGGAACTATAATTAACCTTTATCACATTCACTCATTCATTCATTCAACAAATGTCAAGTAAGCACTGTGTTCCAAATACCAGTCCCTTTCCTCAAGGAGGCCACAAACACATACACCATTATGCACTGAGCAATGGCACGCCCCACAGAGAGTTATGGCACCTCTGTGCTGAGGCCTATTTACCGGGTCTCCCTGCGAGACTGAGAGCTCCTTGAAGGAGGTCTCAACATTGTATGTACAGAGGACTCAAAACACCAAATGAAGGAACCTGAACTCCTAGGCAAGAGGGAGCCACAGGGTTTATGCACAGGAGTGATTTTACTTTTAGGTTGATGCAAAACCTTTACGTGAATAAGACTTGAGTTAGGAAGCCAAGGAGGAAGAGGAGCATTTGCAAACTGGGATGTTCAAAAACAAACAAACAAAATTCCATTGAAAAATACAGGCAATCTCACAATATTGAGGCCTCTCAAGGGACTGGCTAGCACTGAGCTCAGACCGCCTCCGTTAGATAAAGTGTGTACTCTCCAGGTCAGTTGGCCTGCCCACCTCACTCGTAGTTACCAGCGTATTCCTCTGGCACATTCTAATGGAGTTTAAGAAGCAGTCTGAGCAAGGGCAGAGGTGGGGGAACCCCAACAGAAAGAGGAAGAAGAACACAAGGGGCCCCCTAAATAGATTCACAAGTGGTGAGAAGTTACACCAGCCATTTTATCACAAGTTAGCTGAGAGTTGGACATAATGGTGGTTTAAAGAAATTTCATACATTTTCTCCATATTAAAACTAAAGGGGGTCTGCTTTTTAATGAAGATTTCACAAGTGTTATTGCCATTAATTATGACTTACATTGGGAAATGGCATTTTTCCCAGTTACTCAACATGAGCCAAACCTCCAAAGCACCAGGAATTTGGCTGAGTTGGGAAAGATCACGCAGGTTAATTGGAGTTAAAGCCTTCATCACAGTGCTAGCAGTGATAACAGTCAACATTTTTATAAGGCTTTATAGTTTTATAAGCATTTGTACACATAGTATCTAATTTAATCTTTGTGACAATGCTTTGAGGTACACTCTATTATTACGAGTCCTGTATATCCAGATGTTGACATGCAGCTTCATAGGGATGAAGCGATTTGCCCAGGATCCCAGTCAGGGGATTACAAGTGTGTTTAACAGTCCTTGAAATTTTGGTTTCTCACCTTTTTCCAAACAAAGTCCCAGTGGTTTTATTAAAGACAGGATGAAAGTAAAGAACATTAAAAGGAAGCTCTACCATCTGCTATTTCTTCTAGAAAGTCAACCCTAAACTTCTCCTCCTCAAATCTCTGACAAGGTTGATTGATCCTCCTATGGGCTCCCTGAGCTTAAGTGTCCTGTAACTCTCCCTTTCTGAGGGATCTTTGAGAGCAGAGCCTGTGTTTGTAGCTACTGCATACTCAGTAACCAATGCAGAGGTGCTCGGTAGAGAGCTGCTGCATGAATGAATGAATACAACACAACCACATGCAGGCCAGTTCATCAGTCCATCTACAATCCTCAGACTTGGAGAAGGAACATCAGTAAACATCAAACTTAAAAAAGGGAGAAAAAAGCCAATGAATTACCTTTGCAATCATTACACTATGAGATAGATCCATGGGGGCTGCTCTGATTGAATGGGGGGAGGTGGGCGTCACAGCTTATATCAGTGTCCCCGTCTTTTCTCCCTCAGGTAGGCCCCTCAGGCACTTCATCAAACCATGGATTCAACCCATCATCCCTGAAAACAAGGATGAATAAGGAAGTCAGGTTGGCTTGTGCCATGATTCCTTAGTACCAGCTACAGGTTTAAAGCTTGGGTTTTCCCATTTCCGCTCCCACTGTCTTTTCAATCACTAAGCCACATGTTCCTTCCCTTCCAATTTTGAATGTCATCTGTAAAATGAGGTTAGACTAGATTATTTTTTGCAAGTCGTTTTCCCTATTAACATGCTATGATTCTCAATCGTGTCATGCCAATAATGGGCTTGCCCTATTCACTTTGGTCTATTTAGTAAAGACACACACTTTTA